AAGACCACAGGCACGCTGAATTTTTGTTTTTGTGCCTTTGAAAAATATCCTCTCATACCAAATTCCATAAATGAAAGCCTCCAAATACGTTCAATGCCCCATCTGTGCATTTCCGATGCCGCCCATCACTATTCCGAGTCACACCGAGGGCAAAGTTTAAGCTTCAAAACCCTCTGAGAGTCAGTGTTACAGTAGCAGAAAGCGCATACTGGCAGCTACTCTCTCCTGCTTTGAGATTTAGAGGAGTGGCCATACTGGCTGGGGATATTTAAGACGGTTACCATGCTGGCAAGTCTCTTTGAGGCCTTTGTGTTCCCCTCTCAGCTCCTTTGGCTGGGCAGGGAGGTTGACACCTGCTTGGGGCCTTGGGGTTCCCAGCACTGTGCTGTTAAATGGGCACTAATATTGGCAGGCGGCCCACTGAGGACAGAGAGGCAGAAACTGAAGCTGAGCATATCTGCAGTGTGAACTTTGAATGTCTGAGCAAAAGTAAAAGGAGAAGAAATAACCAAGTCAGTTTAAATGAAAGTAAAATGTAGGTTTGCACTTTTTTTAAAGGACCAAAGATGTGCAATCTTATTTAGCTGATTTATTCCGTTTCTTATTTTGCTTAACCCAATCACTTGAGGAAAACAAGCTGCAAGTTTTTGTTTTTTAATTTGTGTGTTTAAACATTTTTAAAAACTGCAGTTCCTCAAAGAGCCACTCGAACACTGCTGCAGTAGTGAGTCAATCTCTATACACTCCAATGTTAAAGTAGTCAACATTTTTTGTCTGTCGAGCAACTTTTTGCATTGACAAAAAGTAATGCATGTAGATGTCAGCTATCAATGGGTATGTTAACAGGAGAAATTTTTTTAACTGCCATAGTTTTGTGAGTTACTCACTCAGTGATTGTGAGCGATAGATTCTGTTGTGATCCGTGTCTGAGGTGGAGCTGAGTCAGCAAAGACCCCGACTCATCCTTCGTGATCAATTTGGAAGAACAGGCTGACATCTAACCCTCTAATGAAACGGTAGGCCGACTTGTCACGTAGCCACACATGGCAGCTTTGTCACTTGCCGCTTCATTTCCAATGCAGAGAGTGCAGACAAGAGGCTCCGCATCCTGTGAGCAGAGAGTGGGGCAAAGATTCGGAGCGCAGTCGAGGGTGACGTGAGGGAATTAGACATTCAGTGCCTGCCAACAGCTCCAACCCCTCACTTCTTTTTCCCCTCTTTGCTGGATCTATTTCCATGCACTCACCCATCATCAGCATCAATGCACAGAGATGCTCTTCTTCCTTTGCCGCAGGACGTCAAGAGCCTGCAACTCATTTTTTTCTGCTCCGTTTGATGCCATTACACCAATGTGCCTGACCACGCACAAAAACTGTGTAATGGGAAATGTGCTCTAAGTAGCTCATTTTGTGGGGAGAATGTCTTTTTTCAGGATTCAGTATAACGCCCCATCTCACAACAGTAAAGAATCCTTCCAATAATTTCTGGACCCAGATCACTTCTAGCATGGGCCAATCTCCAACTCCGATACTCAAAAAGCTCTGGACTCCAGTCCACAACTTTTTGAGTAATGCCACTAACAGACAGTGAAACAAACAGAACAAACCAATCACAGACCCTTCTTGGCAGACGTAATCAGCAGGACCATCTGTACAGTATCCACCCAGCTGTGGGAATAATGATAACGCAGCACTAAGAGTGCATGATAACGAGGCAGCTTTGCACAGGGCTTGCTAATAGACCTGCCCTATCATTTTATGTCATCTGGTAACAATGGGATGATCGTAGAAGAGAAGTTATTGTGCATTGTTGTGAGGATGACCTCATTAAAGCAATGGGTGATGTCTTCAACAAGTCACAGTTCTCACAATTTGCATTCCAATCTTTCGTCATTTCTAGATTAAACCGCATCGGTGACCTATCAGCTCACCACGCATTATCCTTCACATGTTATTGCACATGAAATGACTAATGTGACCTTGACCTTAAGCTTGAGCGAAGAACCATTAGATTATCACTGCGTGCAAGTTTGATTAAAGTCTGATCAATACTGCAGGAGAAGTAGTGAGTCTTTCAACCTCTTTTTTTTGGTTCCAGCAAGAAAAATGTAAAAGATTGTTTCTCTTCTTCTCCTCTTTCAAAACCATCTGGTTTTCTTTATGGTTGAGGTATTTCTTAATAACTTCAGCTGCATGTTGTTGTGCTATTGTGAAACATATTTGTTTTTGTTTTTTTTAAGTGAGCCAGAGGTCTTGTATTTGAAACAAAATACAGAGACCACAGAGGATGACACACTGATGGGGACAGACGTCTGCTTCAATGTCATTTACAGATTAAAAGGAGTTTAGCAATAGATGTGGCAGAAACACGAGCTTGCTCACATGCACACATGATAATGCCATCTGTAGGCATCAAATTGCTCCTATTA